ATTATATTGATAATAATTAATTATAATTAAGTAAAATTAATTATAATTAATCTTTGTTTTAATTATAGTTAATTAATAAAATTAACTATAATTAATTAAAATTGATTATGATTAATTATTACAATTATAATTTTTTATGATTAATTATTATTAATTCCAATTAATTATTTTTAATTATAACTAGTTACTATTAATTATAATTAGTTATAATTAAATAAAGATTAATTACAATTATTACAAGGGAAAAGAAAGAAGGTTGCTCTCATCTCTTACCTCGATCTACATGTCACCACCTCATTGATTCCCGAGGTATAAACCCTCCAAACATAGAACTTCGAGAGCCTACCTTTGACGCTTGCAGCGCGACAAAATAACTACATATACACGCTTTTGTTAGCGTGGTGGGAGGAAGTGCGTTGTGGTGCTAACAACGAAGCTGGTGATCCAAAAATCACATTTAGGCGTTCGTGGTGCATCGAAAATCACATATACATGCTTTTATTGCGCGTGGTGGGATGAAAACTCGGTGCGATGCCTACGACGAGATGGAGTTACTTTTAAGTATCCGTATGCATGGAAATAAATACGCTTTCAAATAGATACTCTCCAAGGCCCCATACATGCTTTTATTAACGTGGTCGGAATGAAGACATGGTCATTATGTCTAAGGACACTTATCATACACATATTTATTAGCGTGGTGGGAAGCCCTAGACTCATATAGTTTTTCCCTAAAAAGGGGAGACGTCGGGAGGCTGCCAAAATTTAGACTGAAAGTGTACAAAACTTAGACAAAAAGAAGAACATGGGACTTTATTTGGACATTTATTTGAGCATCAAATGAACTAAATTCAAAACTTGAATAAATGAGCAAAAACATTTAAATCAAACTCAATCGAGAAGAATTTGATTCAAATTTGAACTAAACGAAATAATAAGAAGATTTGAACGCATACAGAAGACCAAGACTTGAATCAAATGACGACGATCTCAATTTGGAACTTGAACTGCACAAAAGACTTGTGAGTTCAAACTTGAACTTGATTTGGACAATAGGGAACTAGACTTCAATGCTATAAAAACATATTTAAATTAAGGTGTAAAGTCTTAAATGATAATTTGAAGCATTCGAGGGAATATCGTTTAACAAAAAACCCAATGTCACTTGCTTCTAAGAAATAATGTGAGTTTCCCCATGCATGAATAATAAATGACTCAAAGCTTGGACAATTAAAAAGAAATCAAATGGAGCTTGAACTTTAACTCACATGACAGAATTTTTTATCCTTGGATTTTTTTATCCTTGGATTGATGATCAAACAAAGATGCTGAGATATAAGGTCCTAAGTGGCAAGTTCTAGACTTTCAAATAAATAACAAAGAGCAAATAGGAAAATCATTGCATGCGAAGGAAAATAGCCTACACTTAATTATGAAGGTGGACATAAATCTTGCACAAATCACTGCAGATATTTATGGGGACAAGATGAGTGCGATGTACATCAATCGTGAGAAGAGAATTTGCAACATAAAGGAGTCCAAAATTAAATGCAAAAGAACACCTGTGAAACTTGAGGTGAATAAGAGACTTGCAAATACTACTTGTTTCCAATTAGTGATGAATTGTGGACAACAAATCAGATTCTTGTTATGATATGATTCTCTTAATAGATTACATGAATTCATTGCCATGATTAACACTAATCAAAGATGACATATAAGATAGGCAAAAATGAATAAAAAGAATATTTTTTAGGATAAAGAACTTGCAAGTTCAACTTGTTTACAACTGATAAAAAAATCTATGAAGGGCATGACTTGACTACAAAGCCATAATGTGGGCTTTTGGACCATGCCAATCGATTCATAGTGTTGGATCCAATTTATTCTTAAGCAACATTTAGTAAGAATTACAAGACATGTGGCATGCCACCTATAAGCGGAATACAACACATTAGTAATATTTATAAGTCCCTATGATTCATCATGGGGGATCTTCCATGCATGCAATATCCAAACTATAATTAGAAGGGATGATTTATAATGGCTATCAGAAATATACCACGAATACTATGAAGTCCCTCTAATCAGTGAAAACCAACTTGTGTACAAATGCAACAGTTCCCTACGAACATTGAAAGGAATCATATGGTGAACGTAGTAAGTTGCTGACAAATGTATGTGGGGAATTAGCAATGACTGTAATCAAACTGATAGTCAACAACAATCTACAAATGAACACATCAGTCTCTTGTAGATTATTGAAGTTCGTGTGCCATGAATTCAATGAGTCATCAACAAAGATGAATGAGGGAGTTGTAGCGAACATAACTCACCTATGAATATGTTGTGCAAGTAGATACATATGTCCCCTTTAAGCAGAAGAATTCGGCATGCAACGAACACAATAACCTTCTTGTAAATGAAGATCAAATTGAAAGGATAACAATGTGTTACAATTAATCAATAACATAGAGTTCTCAATGAATTTTAGAGATATTCAAGCTAATCAAAATGCCAAGGGTGTGATGGGCATATAGCAGATGAAACAATTGCTTTACAACACTCCAGCAATCAACATCAAGATAGAAACAAGCACACTGATTCGCATGCAATCCAGGATAGAAGATCTGTAGTACATATGAGTTCTCTACGAATACAGATGTACGCACCACATGTCATCTGTGGCTAGATATAGAAAGACTTCAGTAAATGCAGTATCCTGTAGTCAATTTCAATTGAATGCATCTACCTGCTTACCTGCAGTAGTAACATATACGCTGCATGGACCAAAGATCCCAAGAAAATGAATAAAGAATGAGACAAATGCAAGTTCCCACGAGCTTCTGTAGAAGACTTGTTGTACATCCAATATGTTGCCCACAAGCAAAATGAAAGTGAATTATAGTAAATGCAAACACCTACGGGCTATAACAGAAGATTCATTAGTGAACAATAAGCTATATGCAGAAAGCAACAAACATTACATGACAGTCTATCCGTATGAAACAAGCAGATAACCAGTACAACACTATGACACCAGATTCACAACTTGAATAGGAGCAATCATAAGGCATGTACAAGTTCCTGAATAGATTGTTATATTCAATTGACAGTTGCCCATAAAACTGACCAGCGTTAAATCTTTTAAAAATGTCCGCGCACATGCACCGTAATTTGTATACACATAGGTACACAAAAGGGATAAGTGCAATCACAAAACCCGTGTAGGCCTCAACGAGCGTGATGTATTCATACACGTAACATCTAAGGATGATGCGTGGGTCAATAAATTTGAACTAGATCTTCTTAAGCAGGTTAATAGAAGTCGACAATGTTCAATAAATAATTATAAAATATCCCCAAACACTCGTATGGACCCCAACAAGTGTGATGTATTCACATACGTGACATCTAGGGATGCTGCGCGGGTCAATGAATTTGAAATCGATCCACCTAAATAGTTAAATAGAAGTCGACAATGTTCAACAAATAATTATAAAATACCCCCAAACACCAGCATGAACCCCGTCGAACGTGGTATTGGTACACACGTGATGTCTAGGTATATTACGCGGGTCCATAAATGAATGTAGTTCGTGTCTGATCCTTCTAAATGGATAGATAGGAGTCAGCACAGCTCAAATTATCAAACATATATATTGTCAAGGTGTCAACCAGAATATCTATTTTATACGTTCATATAAGGCCTTCAAGGTTTCCAATAAAGAAAATTCATTAACAAAATCGCAAGGCCAATAACGAGCTCGATCCTCTATCGACAGCTTAATAGAGTCGATAAGGTTCAATCCATAAATAAAAATGATCCCCAAACACCCTGATGATGATCATGTTGAATGCAGACCTCAACCAGAAAGATTAATTCTAAATATTTCAAAATGTCATCCCAAATACCAGAGAATTCAAAGTTCCAAAATCATTTAAAATTGAAATAATTCATCTAATCGCTTAAAACAAAATCCATCTACCCTCCGAAACAATTTGTAAGGGTGGACAAATTAAAATTTACTTCAGCTCACATAGAGCTAATGCCTAGTCGAAAATATCACTATAATCAATTCTCAAATAATCTCCTGTCAGTAAGGACATGATACGTGTTCTCTGACCGATAATTTTGTCGCCAATTGAAACTGCAGGATAAACAATTATGACTCGAGACCTTCTGAACCGAATGATTTTGCTGTCAAATGACATCACGAGTTAGCGGTTATGATTAGAGCCAATACGCTCCTAAGTGACACCAAATCCTTAATATTTGAATCAATAGGATACGATTGATAGGACAAAAAGCCCTCTATTAGCTAAGGTAGATTCAAATTTATCCCCTTGAAAAACATTCCCTTTATATCTACAAGGTATCCTTGGACGAAGTAACTCATGGCTACCGACGAGAATTCTTTTGTCATGTTGTGTCGACTACCTCATCTGACTAAGTAGACCAAGGACCACGATAACCCGAGACGACGGAACCATGAGATCTTGATTGGGTCCATCATTTATTCCCCCACCATCCGATTTAAATGCAAGATGATGAAAATTTCTATTTTAAATATCCAACTTCCAATACCCAAACTCATGCTGCTACTATATGCCAGATGCATACCTCTACGTATCTGATTGTTAAAGGGGGAGGCCGGGGCCAAATTTTTGGAGCCCACAGAGATCTTCATGTAGGTTTACAGTACCCGGGCAGATATGAAGCTGGCTGCTCATATTAAAGGTACCGAGCTCTCGAGAATGAGAACTGGAATACTGGCGGCTGAGATTTACCTCACTGGAGAAGCAGCTCTCACGATGAAACAAGAGCTGCTACATATACGTGTACGTCCATAAGCAAATTTTCAAGGCTGAAAGTTGGTAATGTCAGTTCAATAAATAGAGCATAGAGTAGAAAACAGAAACCTGCGTGGGTAAGGAGAGCAAATTGAGAGAAAGAGTGATAAAAAGAATGAGCATAACACTGGTTACATTGTGCGGCATTGCAGAAACAGCATATAATATTTTACATTATAGTACTGATTTCGTGTTGTAACAATTTGGGGGCCAACGAACCACCACTTAAGCAGTTACTTAATTATTAGAAGATGATTTGATTCTATTTTCATGGTTTCTTTGCTTTTAATTTCCAGATTATGGTACATCAAAAAAGAATGGCTCTATGGATAGCCAAAAAGAGCATTGCAAAAATAACATAAAAAATAAAAAATGACACTTGGAGATGAATTATCCTATCTGCTTCTATTTCGGCTTTTACAACTTTCAAAATTTTTTGCTGATGTGAAAAAAAAAAAAAACTAAAAATCAACCCATTAGCCCTTCAATCGTGTATAATAGAGACTCAGCCCAGTCAGCTTTGAATAACAATGTCTGAAGCGTCTGCATAACATTGTAATCTGGATCAAGCTTGCGCTGCCAACCCTACATGAATAAAAACGCAAGGATTAAAATATAATAAAACACAAAATAGAAGAGAAAATGTAAAAAAATAGCAGAGTAGCATTGCAAGCAAAAGAGGGGTTGAATCCAGCATCAGAAAATAAATTCTCTCTTTAACAAAGCAGCTGCAATAAGAATCTGAAAATGACAGTCTAAAAGAACCACATTACAAATAATTACAAAGGCTCCAATTTAGACAGATCCACAGTAAGTAGATCCACCAGATTTATCCTTTATGGAGAGCAATTCAAATTTAAAGTCTCAAAGATATCATTAGAAGATAGAAATTTAATCAAACCCAATATTGGCTAGATATGGAAGTCTTTGATGACCATCTCTCGGCTTTCTCATAGTCTTTAATCATAAGGGCGTTGAATCTGAGATAAACAAGCATAGTTCTTTTACAATGGGAGGAAAAAGGGCATTTCCCATCATGAAGGCAATGTTATTAAAAACACATTTCGAAGCATATTCTATATGGGAATCGAAGCAATGTGCTGGACCCGCACACTTAGCTCTAGCTCAAAATGAGACCCTGGTTCACATTTCATGGTTTGGTTCAGCCTCTAACATAATAATTAGACATGACATAATTAATCAGCACACATAATATTATTGAAGATTTAAGATTATACTTGCGCAAATTTTAACACACCAATATAATTCATCAATTTACTGAAACTATCATTGATGTTGACACATCATTTATAAATACTAAGCAAGCCTGCGATACATCTTTTGCCCCTCGAATACTTTTTGAATTATTTGGATCCATAATTTAGCTTTTGGGGGGATGAATTAGATTACGCAAAGCATTATACAATATTTCTTTAATCTTTATGGAATGTATGGATATAATGTAACATAAAGAAATTATTTGCTTTATCTATTTGTTATTTCTTTTCATCAGGTTTGAGGGCAAAGCTGCTTCTCAAAGCAAAGCAAACATATTAGAGCCAAGCCAAAATTAAATAAAAGTACAATGCCTCACCAAAAATATTTGTATAAATTTATATTTATATTCATGAGTTATTCTATAATTAGATCTATTTTGTTCAGTACATAGCTTGTTATAATAAAAAACAAGATGTGGATGTTTGATTCAGAACCAATATATTTGAATAATCTCCCTCATCTAGTTTGCATCTTATGAACAAAAAAAAAATTATTTGTTTACTTTTTTGGTAAGTTTAAAAATTAATGCAATAGATCTTTGTTTAAATTCCCTCATAAAATGTTTTATATTATCTTGTAGTTTAGTGCGGGTTACAGAATAGCAGATAGCAACCCTATGAGCTATCTTTTCTCATCGGGGATTTCAGCACCAAGGGAAACACCCCACCTACCTTCAGTTGGAGGTCACGGGTATGTCAGCAACATTGAAGCTTGGCAATGGCATTACTACCGCTTGCTAATAACAACAAAGTTACACCTAAGTTTTATAAATATTGGTGGCAAGTATTCATCTCCCTAAACTCAAATCAATGATCTCGGGCCGAATCAAAGAATAAATGAACGCAAAGGTTTACAAACTCAATCAGGATTCAAGATCAATATATGAGGAGGTTATCAAATTATGGGCCACAAGCATTATTTTCACTTTTTAAAAAAAGTTATTATTTAAACCTTGTTATATTTATTTCTTTTGCCCATGCTGCTACTATTTAAGAGGATGACGGTAACATTAAATTTTCCTCTCATAATCAAAGAGTGGTATGTGCTGACGACACTTAAACCAATAAGAAAATCTCTCTGTGGACCCGGATAAAAAATCAATAGAGGGAGTACTTTGGTCGGATCAACATATTCAACAAATGCATAGGTCTTGAAACTCCATTTAAATCAAAGTTCTATAGACGTTTATAAATTAAGTCCAGATCAAAGATCAATGGCTGTTGAGATTTTCTAGTTTTTGTTATTGCATTTGTGCGCTGAGGATTTTTTGCATGAAAAAAGATCAAAATTAGATGTGCTTGAGCGGTTAAGTTGACTAAGGGTTTTAGGGTGATGAATTCTAGGTTCTCCAGTTCACGTGTTGATTGGATTGGCACTGGTTACGTGTGGAGATGTGCCAGTTGCAAAGCTGACAAATGCTGCACTAAGTTCAAGACAAAGAGTTGTAGGTCTGCAGAATGCAAAGAGACGAGGAGAATCAAGACCAGAGGGTGTGTGTGAAATTTGATGATAAGAGGTGCATAAGAAAGCTCATCGGCAATAATCGCGACGCGGCGGGAAACTCCCCAAAACCTATTCGCAATTCATTTAGCATGACGAGTGGAGCCCCGTACATGCTTTTCTTAGCATAGCGGGTGGAAGCTTATTGGCGAAATTTGCAACGGCTCCGGTGGCCCTCACTAGCAATGCGTTCAACAAGTTGAGTGAAACCTCATACACAATTTTCTTAGCATGAAAAAGAAAACTTGTTGGCAATGTTCACGACGCCTTAGGTGGATCCAGTTAGTGATGTGTTTGATGATGTGAGTGGAGCCTCATACATGATTTTTTAAGTATGGTAGGAGGAATCTCGTCAACCATGTGGGTGACATGGCTGGGTATTTTACTTGATGCATTTTCTCGTGTAGATATGACAAGCACACTTTTCTTGACATGATGAGAATTTTTTGAGAATTCCGACAATAGTACCGCATGACATCAACCATAAATGTATTTCTTAGTATAGTGGGCATGCTTATACTCCCTGCAGATTCTCTATATGTGGGGGAGACACAGAAGACTGCAAGAATTTTGACTGAATTTAACATGAAAATTACACAATATGGAGCCTAAAGACTTGTAAATATACAACTAATCGAATGATAGGTACACAAACTAAGTACTTAAATACTGTTAAATCTCAGCCTCACATTCCAAAGAGGATCCCACGGCTATGAACAATAATCCGTGGGAAGACCACCTAGATCGCATTAATTCCTTCCATAGTTAGATTGTTGATTTAGGAATGATTGTATTGCTAATTATTCTGCAATTATTTAGAGTTATTTGTTTCCTTATCAATACACCTTGTATAGATCTATAAATAGGGAGTAGATTGCATAATAAAAATCAAATTTTTCTTCTCAAACCTCTGATTTGTAACATGGTATCAGAGCCAACGGCCTTAATTGCCGTAGAAGAACGATTTTAGATCGTCGGAGGAGGAAGAGAAAAAGCTCGGAGCATCCAAGACTTGATCGCTGCCGACTCCGTGCACGCCAAAGCCGGGACGGACGATTCCCCACACGCTGAAGCCGGGACGGACGACTACCCTCACGCCGAAGACCGAAGCTGTGACAGAGCTGAAGCCCCGATCCAAACTTCCGATCCGACAGGGCGAAGGAGGATAGTCAAACATCCACGAACGAACCGAAGGAGCGAAACTTCCGATCTGAGAGGAAGGCCAAAGTCGTCGAAGGTGGAAAGTCGAACAGCCAAAAACGAGCCGAAGGAGCGAACATGAAGCAACGAAGCTGAACGAGACTCCACTGAGAGGAGCCAGACCCCGTGCCCTAGTCCTGATCCGAGCCTTTTTTTAAAGGCTCGACTGGTTTGGTTTATTAAACCAGGAAAAAATTCTTTTTTAGTCAAAAACAAAAACAAAAAAAAAACAATAAAAAACTTTATCATCGACCTTTATTGTCGAACAAGAAATTTTTTTTTGGAAGCCTTCATTGCTACCCAAAATTATACAGATAGTCTTAATCACTATCATAATGTCAGAAATCAATTCCTCCAAGAGCATTGACCAAACTGAGTCGATGGTGCACTAGGGACGAGGTGACCTCCAAAGCATGCAATCTTCATATCGTCTAAATAGGAAGAACTACCTAAAGTAGTCTCAATTTATGAAGACATACTTGAAAGGGAAAGAGAAAATACACCACCTCCTTGAAGGAGGACAAAAAGAAGAAGATCCTAAATTCGAGGTGTGGGATGAAGCAGACTCCATGATTATGTCATGGTTGTGTAATTCCATGACTCCAAAAATTAGCGACACATTTATGTTTCTTTCCTAAACCCTAAACCCTAAAAAAGGACATATGGGATACTGTCAGCCAGACCTTCTCCAACGCTCATGATGCGGCTCAAATCTTTGAAATTAAAGTCAAAATTGGAAGCACAAAACAAGGGAGTAAGACCGTGACGGAGTATGACACCCTTCTACAAAATATGTGGCAAGAACTTGATCACTATAAATGCATAGAGACCAGATGTCCGGAAGATGTTGCGCTCCTAAAGAACTTTATTGAAAGAGATAAAGTTTATGATTTTCTTACAGGATTAAATACAGAATTTGACCAGATCTTCGATAAAGAGGAGACGCCTTCACTCAATGAAACCATTTCTCTCATCCGTGCAGAAAAGTCGACGAGGAGTGATGTTAGAACCAAAGGTCATTGAAAACTCAGCAATGGTGATGAACAAAGAATCGTCATGGAAAGGTAAAGATTCTTCAAAATTCAAAGACAAAAACTCACTTTGGTGCTGTTATTGCAAAAAATCTAGACACACAAAGGAAACGTGCTGGAAAATATATGGAAAACCCCCCAGTAAGGAGTGGAATAAAAAAACTGAAATAAGGAGCACGTCGCATGCCAACAACACTACAAGCCAACCCACCATAGAAGTACAACCTAACCTTGGAGAATTCAATAAAGAAGATATTGATAAACTGAAACGACTCCTGGTATCCATTGAAAAACCAAATGTATCTTCCTCACTTACACTCTCAGGTAAGTTTCCGATTTCTATTAGTTTAAGTACCTCTAAAAATTATTTAAAAGAATTATGGATCATTGACTCAAGAGCCACAGACCATATGACTCACTCACCTAACCACATCATCAACTATACTTCTTGCCCAAGCAACAAGAAAATCATCACTGCTGATGGTTCTCTTACCACGGTAGCAGGCCAAGGAGATATAACATTATCTCCCTCACTCACCCTAAAAAATGTGCTCTGCGTACCTCAATTATCCACAA